TAATCCACTCATTTGGGAACTCAAGGTGGAAGTTTAGCCAACACAGTGACACAGTTTCAAACTGCTTGTTTTCATGTTGGCCACTGCAGCTGAGGATTTGAGTGGAGGATGTGAACTTGCTGTCAGCTGTATGGTTGGCTGGCCGGGTGCACGCTCCCTGAGGAGCCATGCTGTTCCAGGAATCATGAAATAATCTGAGCGCCAAACTATCTATCATCTGAATTCAGCATTGTCCTCTCCACAAATTTAATTGAGAAGGAGCCATGTAAAGTTTCAGTACTCATTAATTCTGTCAAATGCAAAGTTTAAAAACAACAGCAACAAAAAATCATTCTCATTTACATAACCCAGGAGGCTTAAAAACTGTCCTGTCATATTATTGTTTTCTGTGAGGAATGGTTATAAAATCCCCAGTGGGAGTAGGAGCTTCCAGCAGCTTTCTGTAGCTCTGCAGATGGTCAACACACAGACCCTGTCAGCAAGCAGACACGGGTCTGACCCCAGTCAAAGGCCCTTAACCCAGCTTTCCACATTACCTCCAATCAGGCCTGACCGATCAATACTGGCCATCCCAGAGGAGCCAGGCCAGGGCAACATTTGTGTTTGCCGTTTTATTTTTTGTGACTGAAGGTGAAAATGATTTGTGGCTTCACAGATGAGCCCGACATGCAGCAAACACATCCCTTGAATGACACATGTCTATACTGCTTGGCTTTCTACATGTATGCAAACATCAGCACCAGATGTTTTGTTGGTTTGATGCCTTTCACCAGCAGTCTGTATAACCAGGTGGCTCCGTTTGGCCTTTGAGAAGAAGGAAGGAGGATAAGGTCAGTGGCAACAGAGAGTGGATGGGTCACCTACATGGAAATAGGAGAACCCCTGTGGTGAGCAGATAAAAGGATGTGCACCCATCCAGAACTGTCCCAGACAAGACCACGGGCTGCTGCAGTCTGACTCTGGCTAGAGGGGTGGGGAGTAGGCCTTTAGATAACGGCTTTCAAACAGCACAGACTTCCGCAGACATCCCGAGTCTGATAGCAGAACATGATTTTCTTTTTAACAATGCCCCATTTGTCCTTTTGTTGTATAGCACTACACAAGTAGCTTTTACTGACGCTGCTTTGTGAGTCTGTTTACCTCCACGGTGTTCTATCACAGACTAAGGCTGACCAGAGAAGCATCCTGCTCAGGGGTGGCACCGATTCAATCCCACCAGTCTCTCAACAGCGACTGAAGCCTAACCTTTGATCATAAACCACTTCACACAAGGAGGATTATACACACGTAGGCTCCCACTCATACATGTATATTTCATTATCATGAGTCAAAAATTCCCTAAATTAAAAATACCCTAGTACAGAAAACAACAAATGACTGGAGATTTCTGATACACTGCAGTTAAAATAATCTTCACAATACTGCAGTCAAAACTGTAATATAATACAGCACCACCCATATGACCACTTCTCCTGCATATTGCTAAGCTTCTTGTCTAATACTAAAGTCTCTCTGAGGGAGGAGAACCAGTGTCAGCACTGTCAGGTCCTGACAGCAGGCTAAGATCAGAGCTCTGTACGGCAGCAAAACCACAGTACAGTAATTATATATCAAAGCCCCTTCATGGCCAATTGGGCTAAATGTAATATGAAGAGAGCGACATGCACCACGGGCCGACAGGACGAGATGAGGGCCGCCGTCAACAAGAGTTAGGGGTAAATAAAATATTCCTTGTGTAAGAAAACAAGGGGAAGTGTGGAAAGAGCAGATTTTTAATTAATTTGAATGAGTTGCAGCTTGTTCCAAAGTGATGTGTTATGTCACACTAACTGTAAATCACTAGTTAAATATATAATAAGACTGACAACCTCCCAAGCAACCGCTAAACTAAAACTTCTGGACAAACAAGAGGAAAGTCTCAAATAAGAAGACAAGCTAGTGCACATTTTCCTTGTTTTCGTCTGCCTTTTCATGATCTCGTAGCTTCATATTTGGTTGGTTTTTGTCTATTTCTCTTTTTAAACATTGTGTAACTTTTGCTTTGAAAAGTGTGAAAATGTGCTTGCTACATAAAACTAATGCTATTAGTAACACTGCTGATTCTGTTTTTTATTATACTGTGCATGAGTCATTTATCTTTTAAGGAGCTCATTCATAACATTTGCCATTAATGTATGTTCTGAAGATAAGTAGGATTTTTTTTTACTTATCGCTACCAGATAACATCAGTTACACTCTCACCACCAAACAGGTGCAAACAGAAAACCAGAAACAATGAACCAATGTTCCCGTTCACATTCGGTCACACTGGCCTGTTGAGCTTTGACTCTCTCTCTCTATGTGTGTGTGTTCCTAGTTCATGCATGACCTCACTGTGAAAATGTGCACCTCCTGATACAAGGACCCCTCGGTCAACAGCACGGGTCATGTGTTTGTTTTTGGCACAAATAAAAACCATCAAAGAACACCAGAAATCCCAGAGAAGATTTGTTGTCACCACATCCTTCTCTCTCTCCTGCTCCCCTGAGTCTTTTCTGCTCCCTCTGTGGCTGTGTTTGCTTGGTACAACTCTAAATGTGTGTCGATACTAGGGAAGCAAAGATGGTGCAAGCTAGTGGACAACAGATAGATTGTGCAAATGAACAAACATTTAGAGGTCGCTTGCTCAATTCAGACACAAACAAACACACAACCAACCATCTGAAGCAACCTCCATAAATGACCCTGACCATAATCAGATCTTATTCCACCTGGTTAAATTTCACTGCCATGCAATTTTCCTGTCTGGAACATTCCAGTGTTATCCTCTCCAGTATCTGGTCCTAATGGGAAACACTGGAGGAGCAAGTGTGAGCGTATGATTTCTTTTCTAAAGCCGTCCTCCCTCAACAAAAATAAAAAAAGAAGCACTAAAAACTTTCCCCCACCACTACAGGGACTGCTTACACCAGCTGTTTCACTGAAACATACGTGTATTACAGCCGTTCTTCCATAAACATATATTAGGACAAATCTCTCTGTTCCACAACCCGAGTCAAGTTAATGGACTTCTGCAAACTATAACCACCACTGCTTAGGTATCTGTTGCAGCATAAAATTCCTCATAAGACAAAAACATGTCTGAAATGGCACAATGCTGAGGTTTTCTCATATATGTTTAGTTTACAATGTAGAGTGAGAAATTTAACTCCATCCTGTAGCTTTGTGTAAGAGTTGTAAGGAAGTCATTTTTGGCACCAACAGGAAAGAAAATGTGACTAAAGTGAATTTTAGCTCCAGACATATACTGTATAAGCTTCCACTCTGAATCAACAGAAAACCTTAACTCGTGACTTCTTTATTAGATTTCAATGAGTAAAAACTAGCAGACCAGGCTTTTCCACAATTCTTTAGCCAGAGTAGTTGAAAATACTGCAGGTGAACATCAGAAACCTTCCTACAAAATCAAACCAAAAAAAAGTCTACAGTGAATGTCTGTTTCTAACAAACATTCGGCTCTTTTTCATTATGCCCCTCACTTCTGGGGCCCCTGTCAAGGTCCCGCAAAAGCCTATTTAACTTGCAGAATTAAAGCACAGTGGTTTTTTGACTTCAGACAAAACTTTGTGAAACTAAGCACAAGGCAAATGATTTGACATTTTAAACGGTGAAAGGAAGAAAAATGTTTAAAATATTTAGCAAATTGAAGTGGAATGTCAACAGCCAATCGATAAAGTGCTTTATATTTTGGTGGTAAAAATAAAGCTCAGTCTGATATTACTTAGATTGACATTAAAAACTGGTGGACCATTTGTTAAAAACATTGTCACGTTCGTTTCATTTTCTATCAGGACGTGACCCAGTCAGTCCTTCAGCTGGTTATATTAACCCGCTGTGATGTAAATGACAAGGATAATGTTAGTCTGTCGACCTCTGAGGACGTTAAAGGCCTTTGTTGCGGGTTTTGTTCTGAAAAGGATCCTCACTTTGTATTGCAGGTGGTAGACCTGCAGAGACCATTGGCATAAGAATAGACAAAAGGCCTTCAACCATTTCAGGTCTATAAACACTATTGGATAAATACTCTACAAGATAAAACGCTATTCTCTCTTTTTTTTTCCAGGTCTCAAAAATGGTCCAAACAGTTCTGGGAATTTCCTAAGTTTGGGACTTATCACGCTGGGATCAGTCAGATTTGTGCACATTGTGACATCCACGTTAAGCTCGATGTCACAATGCACCATAATAAAGTATAAAACGTCTCTGGGTCCGTCGTTGGCGCGCAGGTGTTCAAGCCTAGAGAGCTGAAAGCAGCACTGCTTGACTGTAAGTCCAAACTCCTCGATCCACATGAAAAGTACACGCGTCATAGTCGAAACAAAACATTAAATAAATAAATAAATTCAAATTATACTTGAGAGAAAAGCCTGAAGTGACATCACGGTGAAGGTGCAGTGTGGCACTGTGTCCAACAGAGATCAGTGCACATCGCGGAAACAGGCCGGACTGACCGTCACCTCCAAGCAGCCTCATGTGGCACAAGTCAAAGCTTTCAAAATGCATACACGTATAAAATAAACCCATAACACCACCGCCAAATTAATGCACTTATTTAAAGAGACAGACTGTGTGCCAGCCCACAGCTGTAGGTTTAAATGAGCATGAAGCTGAGCAGGGGTTAGTGTTTTCACCGTGTTTAATTCAGTTGGCAATAAACTCCAAACTTTTTGGATAATGACTATAATGAAAAAAAATTCTCTGCTTTTAAAAGGAATAAATGAAACCTGTCTGGAGGCCATTCGCTTGCCAGGCTGAAGTTTATCTAACGATGTTGTTGAGGTGTTGAATAAAACCCAGGCAGTTTTCTCTAACGTCCAGATACTAAAATAAATATGAAAAAATACGTGTTGGCGTATTGCCATGTATAAATTGCTTTTTAAATCATTTAACTGTCCCAAGTAGCAACATTTTGGTTTCCAAGCATCATGGAGACGCAGCAGCGCTAAAACAACTAGTTTTACCTGTACCACTCCAGTCCGTTCTCATAGTTGCGGTCGAAGAAGTGCGGCTCCGCTCCCACGGCTCTGATGTCGGGATGAACCCGGAGAAACTCCAGCAGAGCCCGGGTCCCACCTTTCTTCACCCCGATGATGATCGCCTGTGGCAGCTTCTTGCTCCCGGAGCCGTTGGAGAAGCTGGACATGGCGCTGGGCTCCAGGGCTCTCTGCTGCTCGCCCCGCATCTCGTCCCACTCGTCGGCTCGGTCCGTCTCCAGCTCGTTATTGAGCAGGTCTCTGGACGCAGCAGTCCTGATGGACGACTCCTCGTAGTCGCTCTCTACATCCTCCCACGGCTGCGGTTTGGCCAGCAGTCTGGACACCAGGTCCATCCTGCTGCTGTCTGTCCTCTTGGCCACAGCCGAGCCAGTCTCCTTGCCCCGGTAACTGTCCACCACCAAACTTGGCATGGTGGAGCAGTAGCCCACGCAGGAGTACAGCATGTATACCCAGATTAAAAACATGATGCCGAGTAGTATGAGCTTCTTCTTCACGGGGCTGGACCAGAAGGCATAGAAGCTGTAACAAACCAGGCTATATTCCATAAGCCCTTCGGTTAAAAATCCTATCCCAGCGGCGCATATTGCCTAACTCACTCCCCGTGGCACCTCGGCAATCCCCGCAAAATTAAGCACATGCTCACCTAAATTAAAAATAAATAAAACACACAAATAAAAACAAACAATTAATATAAATATAATCGAAGAAAATGATATATCCAGGAATGGGGAGGCATTGAGTAATATTCAATCATCGTTATGGACAGAATACGGAAAATTGTTACCCTGCAGCCGACGCGCCAAGGAACCGCTCCGGGCTCATCTCGGGCTTGTTAAAGCTGCTGCTGGAGCACGAGACCTTAAAGGGAGACGAGCACGAGATTGACAGCAGAAGCAGCCAATAGGCGCACGGGAGATAAATATGCAGCCATTTGTTTATAGAAGCGGGCCAATCAGAAAGAAGCACGGGTGGTCCCCGCCGTAGATCAGTGGGATGAAGCGGGACTGTGCTGAGAGTTTGGAAAAGTTTCTTATTGAGCCTCGACGCCAATTAAGTGAAACTTTTCGTGTCCGGGCGCAGACAAGTCGTTCAAATGAGTTTAGAAAACTCAGCATTTCCCTGCAGGCTCATTGTGACATGGTTTACACATTCCAGCTCATCTGCATCAACTGTTTAGGCTACGATTCAATAAACAAAACACACTTCCCAAAAAACTTTTAATTAGGATACATTTGGAAATCGGTAAAAACGTGTTGAACAATTTTCCAACAAACCCTCCTTCATAAACAATATAAACTGTTATGTGATTTAAAACAGACTTTTGTTAAATGAAATAGTTTGACTGTAGTGCTGAAGTGGAATGAGAAGCAGTGGAGAGGCCAGTCGACGCTCCGGTAACAATAAGTTATTAAAAAATTGTCAAATAGTTCGTTAATTATAACTCTCAACAATTTTAATTATCTCATTACTTGATAGCTTATTGCAGTTGGAAACAATTAAACTGAAAGCTTATTATTATTATTAACATTATTAATTATTCCTATAGTACTTATGATGTATTTATGTACTTTTATTTTTTCCTTAACATGTATTTCAGCCAATTAGTTAATTATCAGCCTATTATTCGTTCTCTTTTTTACTTCCAGCTATTTATTTATTTAACAAAAACCAGTCTTATCCACATGCAGGAAAAAGTCTGAGCGCACTGGAAGAGGTCAACACACCGTCTGAATTAAATCGGCACTGACTAGAGATCACCCCATACAGATTGTTGGATGAACCACAGTCACTGACAGATTATTTTTCACGTTTTAAAAAGAAGAGAGAGCAGCCTACAGCATCCACAAGTTTGGGATGCAGCGACGGAAGTCAAATCCACGCAGAAATTACCAAATGTCGAGACAATGAGAACGAAACTGAAAGTCTCGCGTAAAATCTGGAGACACCGACGTTTTAATGTGTCATCTTAAATGTATATTTTCTTCATGAAAACTCAGGGTTCTGTTGCTTGTGTTCATGGTGCTTCGCTGTTTTTGCACTGAAAGGTTTTTTTTTTCCATGGCATCAAAGTCCTTTCATAGGGTCTTATAGGGATAGTTTTACTGCGCTTGATGTATAGTTTTAGTCCAAATATTGCTTTAGGATTACCGCTGCGCTGTGGATTCTTTTGCAACAACCAAGCTTTGAAGAGAGGCCAGGGGTCATCCGTCATCCTGAGATTTCAAGGCTTGGTTTGAAGAATCCCGGAATCGGAGCCCTTGTACAGTATTACCCTGTTCTGATGTCAGCGTGGATACTGAAGCTGCAGACTGCTGTTTACAGTATTTTGCGCTTTGGTTTGTGCACTCTGGAAAAGAAGCTGTGACACACTCAACTGCAAAATAACACCAAAGTTTCAAGGACTATTATCTGCAACGGGAAAGGGAGAACCCTCATGATTTTATACCTGGAAAGGACTGAAATAAGGGAAGACATGAAATATGGTTGAGTTATGAAATAATACACAAACTTTTTTTGAAGTTTTTCTTCACTTTACATGAGCAAATTTGATAAATCAGCAAAATACAAAAATTGTAAATGTCCAGGAATTTAGTAGTGAAGTTCTATTTTATGTAGGACATTATTAGTTTAAGATGGTAACAGGACCTTGCAGGGTCCCTGTACGGTTACCTGGCTACTAAAATACAGTAATATAAAAGATCCCCTCATGTTTTAAGAAAAAAATGGTCTGATTAGAACAATAATTCTCTAGGTTGTGCTTCAATAAATCGAGCAACATTTGAAAGCTCGCATATGGGGCTAATGCTGAATGCTACTGTAAATATAATTCATATGCTCAACCATCAGAAGTAGAAATAACTCAAATGTAAAAAGAGAGCAGAGCAGTTCACGTGGATGACAGGATAAGACAAGAGTCACCGCTCCACCCCTGTAGGAGTGCAGGTTTTACAGCATGACAGGCCATCACAGTTCACCCTAGCAGATGATATTCAATCTCCACACAGGTTCAGTCTGCTTGTGTGTGTTTTTCCTTACTTTTCTCCAACTGTAACAGCTGGCTCGGCCGCTCGCCTTTCACCCTCTGATATGAAACTCTGCATCCGGTCTGACACTTTACGAGGATGTTGAGCTGTTCCAGGTCTCTGGGCCATGGCTAAATCCCAGAGCCCCTTTTATGGACAGAGGACGGCCATGAAGGGGAAGGGGCCGCTTGTTTCTCCAAGTGTGGTGATGGAAATGTAACCAAATACCAAAACTAGGGCTAAATGGCGGAAGGGGAGCACATGCTGACTGACAGGTGCAGAGGTGCTTAAAGTGAGCATATCCACTAAGGCTGTAACTGAAACTCAAATCCATATATTATGTGAAGAATGACTCTGCACCACCACTTAATGAGACGTGGCAAAGGTTTGTGTGTGTTCGATAAGAGCGAGGCTTAACAGCCATTCAGGCTCAATCTGAAAACGTTTAAATGGATCTTTAAGTGCAAACTGAGTGAGCAAATGATGACACAGAAAACAGAATAACAACATGACATGTTTATTGTTTGGGAGCGTTTATCCTCATATCTCCTACAGTGGTCATTTCCTTTGTTTTGGTGCAGACAAATCATTAAAGCATTATGTAAATGAAAAAGTCATCAGTGCATTTGCTGAGTAGCCAAATACAGAAAGGTGTCTGACCTGTCAAACAACAGAGATAAAGTGAATGACAAGTGCACTGCTGTACCCGCTTCAGAAAAAGTTTGTCCTGTTTTCAGGCACAGAGTGAAAACCAAATATACAGTAAATCTTCTCATGACTTGAGGTCTTCATGTCAGGCTTTTAATTTGCATTTGTACAATGCATTGTGTAATCTGCACACACTGATCCCTGTGTGAATCCATAGGAGCAAATTTACACTGTATGAGGTTATGTACAACATGGAAAGAACCTTTTGGGCTCCTGTAAATAAATACAGCCTATTTAAAGTACACACGCGCACACACACACACACACACACACACACACACACACACACACACACACACACTCTCTCTCTCTCTCTCACACACACCTGATTATAACTGGACAATTAATTCCCTGTGTTGTGTTTTCTGTAACTCGGCTCATTTCCTGAGCACCACTGGTTTTAACACACAGCTCACATAAGGTGTCCACAGTGGTTAAGGGACACACTGTGGGAGGGTCTCAGAGGTCTTAGAGATGTCGGGGCATTTATGGAGCTCATCAGTACTACAGTGTGAGGGGTAAAGCTGCCGGAGGATGAGCTGCATCCTCCTGATCTCTGTGAGGCTTCTTACAGGTGAGCACCAGCAGCAGCAGCATGGGTAGGTGCCATAGGCTGCAGAAGAACAGCTTGCGGGCACTGCTGCGGTCTGCCTTGCGGTAGAAGCGGAAGGCCAGGTAGCTGATATACAGGTTGATGGGCAGAGAGATGGCAGGGAAGGTCCAGGTGGTGACGTCCACCATGGGCGCTAAGACTGACAGGCCAATCAGACCCAGGCTGTGGCGCAGAGCCACCCGCCTGCACATGCCGGGGTGGGTGACGGACATCATGCGGTAACCACCACGGGAGTAGTCTTCCCTCAAGTTCCAGCTGAGGGCGTTGAAGTGAGGAAACTGCCAGCTGTACAGGAAACCGGCCAGCAGCAAAGCCCCTGGAGGTGAGACGGAGGGATTCATGATGCAGACTCACATTAATGTGTTGCTTGTTTACTTCAGCTGCCAAATATTAGGCCAAGTACTGAAACTAAAGTTTCAGGTTGTGATTTTTAGGGCAAAAGTATACATTTTTAACCCTGCAACGGTAATAAAAGATACATTTAGAAGACAAACCACCACTCTCAAAACATTTTTTATTCCAAAATACAAATGATTCTGAAAGGTGTTCTGTTTTTTCCAAAAACTAGTTTCCCTAAGTACATTTCATCCAGACGAGGGTTTCCTCTAGGAACACAGGCAGTTTTGCCAGTGTAGCCCAAACCACAGCCTCTGAGGCTGAGAAATGAAGTGCCAAACGCTGCAGTTCCTCAAATGGCCACTTGAGGCAGTCTCCAAAAGGGAGTCAGTCCCCTTAGACTCCCATGTTAAAATGTCCAGCTTTACAGCAGAAATAAACATGTTTACATCCTGGTACAAAAAACAGTTTTGAGCTCTATAGCTAATGTGCCCTTTCATAACAACTGTACAGGTTGAATTTTTATATAAATCATTTTTTTAAATATACTGAGAGTAAAAGTAATGCATACTTAAAGTTATGGCTGCTTTGAGTGACAGGGGGGAGGGTCCTGCCACAGGTGGCTAGCTGCTAGCTGTCAAGCATGCTCCACGCACGCTTCACCTCTTTGCCCATTCTGGGTTTAGCCATAGCAGGTGGCATGAAGCGCTGCCAAGATGGTGATGACCAGGCTTGAGCTTCAAAACGGCTCTTCAGAAAAAAAGTGAGTTTGTCCAGCTTTTATATACAGTCGTTGGAGCCCAGCTTGTAAGCATTATTACTGGACATATTGACCGGAAAGTTTTTATGAACCAGACATAAAAATATACCTTCTGGCCCATTTTACAATAAAGGTACTATTGCAGCAACATATTCAGACCACTGTGCTTTCTTATCTCACATCCACTGAGTCAATAAAAAGTCATTCAGTCTATGTTTACTGCCAGGTTTTGCAACAAAGACCAAAGACAACATAAACTTACAGCAGACTGCCTAGAATGCTTTTATAGAGTCATATCAGCCATTGTCTCAGTCCTAGCTAACACAAAATGTTGCTGATCACCATTATTGGTTCCTCTTTGTCTAAGGGACAGCTGTTCACAGAAGAACTACTCTGTCTGCTAATAATCTGTGTCCCATTCAATAGTCTGAGTCAAACCAGAAGAACAAGTTATAAACTGACAGGAGGCTCAGATATTTTTATTCCACCTATGCAACAGTGAAGCTCACCAATCAGAGAGCTACACAGCAACCAGTTGTCATGCTGCTAGACAACATGTAAAATCCCATTTGAAAGCAGTGATGCTGTGACTGTACAATAGCACACCTTGCTATAAGGGGACATTTAAAGAACATGTATTTACTGCATTTATCAGGTTGAACCATTTGAAGTTCATCTCAAAGGCTGACTCACTGTATTGACTGGACTGGTTTTAAAGCTTTCATGAACAGAATGAGTTGCCATGGAGAAATCAAGAGAAATGAAGGAATAGATGAGAAGTACCTTCATTTATAAATGAAAACCCAATTCATTTAGCCCCCCGTGACCCTATTCAGGAATAAGCGGTATAGATAATGGATGGATGGATGGTTTTAAACCTGAAATTGGGGAAACCCAAAGATATTACATTTACAATGATATAAATACCTTCAACAATTTGAACTGGCCCCTCAACTTTATCATTTTCTCAACCAAATTAATATTTTAGCTGTAGTATCTACACAAATGTACATTTCATTAATACCCATATGTGAGTTGTACCTGGCTCCAGACAACCTGTGGCAGCCGTCCAGCCCATGACAGGAGGTATTGCACCCACCACAGCCCCCACCCAGGTGTTGGTGATGCTGAGGCGCTTGAGTGGTGTGTAGCAGCAGGTGTAGAGGAAGATGTTGAAGGCACCCAGGAAACCCGTCAAAGGGTTTACTGCCAGCGTGAGCAGAGTGACTCCAGAAGCTCCACAGGCCAGAGCAAAGGACACTGCATGGAGGGGACTGAGGTAACACAGGGACAGAAAAGGAAG